TTTATCATTTCTGGAAGGAGTCTCCAGTGTCAGCGGTGTGTAAGAGTCAGAGGTAAAGACATCTTCAGGACTGGAGTTTACACTTTTGCAGTTTCTTCGTGTCTTGTCTCATCTCCTGACGTCTATCCGCTAGCTATTAGCTTATCTTTTATTTGGAATTGATGCTAACAGAATGGTGATGCTGCTGGTGCTACTCTTTGTAGCGTTTTGTGAACTTTTATCCAAATTCGCATGCCATTTGTTTGCTTTGTTATATGCTCTATGGTGAACGCATATCCAGTAAAGTCACACACTCTGGATAACCTGAGAGGAGTGGGCATGAAAACAGCACTAAAATGCACAACTACATGATGTGTTCTGAAGGCAGATTGGGATTTTTTGTCCTCGCTGTGTGCTGAAGGTCAGGGTAGTGTGTTGTTTTTTTATTTTATTTTATTTTATTTTTTCGTTTTTTGCCACAGTTCATCAGGCTGTGTGGCATTTACACTGATGATGTGCTCTAACCTTCTCACTCATTTTATAGCACAATGTTTTTAATCCCAAGGTGCAACATATGAAATATTGCTGTAGTTTGGCAGCTGGTATATCTTCTTCAGAAAGTTTCAGGTTTATGGAGATTTTCCCAGAGCCGGGTTCACACAGTTCCTGTTCTTATTATGAGAGAATCAGATAGGAAGCATGATGGAATGATATTTGTCTGGAAAATGAAAGCAGGAAAGTGTTTCACCACTCTGTCTCTCTCACCACCCTGCCTCTCTCCATCCTGTCTTTCACCACCCTGTCTCTCTCACCACCCTGCCTCTTACCACCCTGCCTTTTACCACCCTGTCTCTCTCACCACCCTGTCTTTCACCACCCTGTTTCTCTCTACCCTGTCTCATTCCACCCTATCTTTCACTAGTCTCTTTCTCTCCACCTGGTCTCTCTCCACCATATCTCTCCTCCCATCTCTCACCACCCTGCCTCTCTCACCACCCTGCCTCTCTCACCACCCTGTCTCTCTCACCACCCTGTCTCTCTCACCACCCTGCCTTTTACCACCCTGTCTCTCTCACCACCCTGTCTCTCTCACCACCATGCCTTTTACCACTCTGTCTCTCTCACCACCCTGTCTCTCTCACCACTCTGCCTTTCTCCATCCTGTCTCTCTCTACCCTGTCTCATTCCACCCTATCTTTCACTAGTCTCTTTCTCTCCACCATATCTCTCCTCCCATCTTTCACCACTCTTTCTCTCTCCACCCTGTCTTTCTCCCACTGCCTACTCTATATTCCTTCCCCCTTCTTGGATCTTTCTTCTCATTTGTCATTATCTCTCTCACACCATTTCACTCTCCCTGTTGCTTTCTTTTTTTTTTTCTTGATTCCACATTTTCACTCATAATCTCTGACTCCTGGTTCTGTGCAGTATATTTTGTCTGGCTCAGGAGGCAGTAAAGCAGAGGTTGATTGATACGATTTAGTGGTAATTCTGGCTGGAGTAATGGTGAGAATAGTGATGCTTGTGATAGAGGAGAACACAGAGGAGTGATCAAATAGGGTCTTAGAGAAAGGCTTAACACTCTCAGCTCACGTTCAAACCTGGTATTAGCATCCATCTCAGGTTAATAGATCTTTTAAACCATGTTCAGACATCGACAGAGACGCATGTGGCCACATGACATGTTTACTGCAAATACTGCCGAGATATATGATCAGGGTAATCACCAAAAAACATTAAATAAAGGAACATTTAAAGTGTGTAGAAAATTTCTCTCAGCATTCAGCTGCACTAGTGTTTATATTGTGTAGTACACGTGCAGTCCCTTAAGCCTCCTGTATCACACTGTATCACTTTTTAATTTTAGCTGACAAAATGACTGTCTTAAAGAAGTAAAATAGACAAGTTCAACATTCAACGTGGATGAATTAACTTTGAAATTGAAACTTTTAATTTGGTATTTCACGTCACTGTACTTCAGCCTTCACCTGTCATCCCGTTTGTCCTCTGAAGGAGTAATAATCACGATCAAGTTTTCTCTAATTTAGATGCATGGTGTGGATTAGACTGAATTACTGTAGGTGATGTATGTTTCCTGCATTGAGTCATAAGCATTTAAGCCTGTAAAGCCTCATTCTTCTGAGTTTTGCTTCCTGCTTCTCCTGAAGACATGAAGGTCATGTCCCTACAGCCTAGATGTGTGTTCAAGGAATTTAAAATGAATTAATTCATAGATCCCGAAGCAAGCAATGGAAAAAAATCTAAACTGTATGGGATACACCCATAGCTCCCTGTGTAAAAATATATAAAATATATAGCATCCTGATGTGTTTGTGAAACTCAGTGTAGCTGAACACAAATTCAAGTTTAATGGAAGTGTAAATGAGCTGTGAAAGAAATGTGTATGAGGCAGTGATGCTTTGTGATGCTTTGTTTCCTCTGCTTTTTCAGAGAAATTGTCTCTCTGGGCCCCTTTTTTGTGAATCTCAGCGTATCTGCTGAAGAGTTTTCCTGTGGGGTTTTACGAACCGAAACTGATGAACAAAAAGTCATCCATTGTGTACATTAGATATGACACACTTGTACAGCGGACATGGTATTTCTCCCTGTTCTGATGGTCTCATTAGCAGATATTTTACAAAATAACAACAAAAGAAATCAGTTATTAAATTTCCACCAAATGTTACCTTTGCTTCCTTATCAGATGTTGTGTTAGCGGTATATGGAAAGTTATCTTCTTAGAAAAGGCCTCTTCTAACCATCAAGTAGAACTCAGGATATCTCCATTGCCAACAAGTCTAGTCCTTCTTCTTAATTATTTGTCTGCTTTAAATACCCTTATAATATTCCATGACCAATGGAAAAATGTAATCTGTTCATCTCTTGGTAGCAAAGATAAGTCCATACAAATCCTACATGCACTTCTTTTTGAGATATTTCCTAACAAGAATTTCCTACAGAAAAGATCTTGAGAAACGAAAATGAGAAAATGAGTTTCGAGTTCCTGAACGTGAACATGTGGCCACCTTGCTGAAATGCACGGTTTGTAACAGCGTATAAAAAAAAAACGTAAGGAATTATAGGATGAACTACAAATAGGCTACTGAAGTGATGCTGCAAAAAAATTTTTAAAGCATTTGAATGCAATATTATAATGTATTCTGGTTATATTCAAATACAAGGTAATGGTATTTGCAGCCACTCTGTTATTTTGCATTGCTGTGGTCCATTGCCACTGTTGCACAAAAGCCCAAGTAGAACAATCACATGCAGTACAAACAGAACAGACGGACCATCTGAGTCACCGGTTTAATATAAAGCACTGTCTGTTTGGAGTTTGTTAAAATGACTAATTCGAGAGACGGAGCTTACACTGAGAAAAGACAGATGCTAACCACTTCTCTGTGTCTCGATCATGGATGTAGTACCTCTTGTTTATGTTGAATCATGTTTCTGATTGGCTTTTGATGGTGGAATACACCACTCTGTATGAGTTTTGATCTACAACCACCTGATGCAGTGGTATGTACCAACATACCAACTGAAATGCTACATTGTGCTAGGTTTAAACTCTTAACCTATGGTTTATGACCCTGACTTATGGTTGAACTTGTGTTCAACTGGCTGCAGGTACTATTCTTGAGAGGACATTGGTAGTGAAAAGTCCAGGGGTAGTCCAGTGGTTAAGATTTTGGGCTACTGATTGGAAAGGTCTTGGGTTCAAATCCCAGCACCACAAAGCTGCCATTGTTGGAAGCATGAGCAAGGCCCTTAACCCTCAACTGCTCAGTTGGATCCCGTCTCGATCTTGCCACGTCGTCTGGATGTCCAATACAGAGACTGTGTATACCCAATTCAATGAAGGACAGCAGGCAGATTAACAAACAAAAGTGCTGTTCAGATGGAGAAAAATAAGCACTTCAAATTTAACATTAATCTTAACAAGAAGGAAGAAGCTGCATCAGCCAGAAACACCTGAAAGAAATCCATCCAAGAGGGAAGCACTTTACATGAGCAGGACCTCTGCTGTGCCAAAAAGGAAACAAAAAAAGATCAACCACATCCACCACTCATACCCATACACACTGCTCCAGAACATGCGGAACATGGATCACCTGCAGACTCACCAACAGTGACCCTATGGAGGATACTTGACTTGACTCGAGCGACTGCTGATGATGATGAAAATGATTGCTGCAGGAAAATCACTAAACTCTGCAGGAAGCCAGATATACAAGAACAGAGATGGGCTCCACTTTAAAAGCGCACATTGACCTCCCACCAGGACATCTGTCATCAAATCCAATCATCTCTCAAGTCAGCACAATGAGAAATACAATCAATCAAAGAAAGGTCCTGCATGACAGAGCGTACTCTCTAGACTTTCTCCTGAGATGTGAGTAATAGATTGCGGAATTGATATGTTTAATATAAAGAAGAAAAAGACATGGAGTCATGTGAAAAATATTGATAGAAGATGGCACACTTGCATTCCCAGGCTATGAATAGACTGTAATGGATATGTCAGAGATCCTTTCTGTTGGAATTTTATGTAACTTCGCCTCCTTTGAAAAGCACAATAATGGTAAGATTTTTCCTTTTGTTAAGGTACAACTAGCTAGTTACAGTCATTTAACACAAGGCAAGAGCTTTTTAAAAACAATTTTGCAAATAGTATTCCTCATACGCTGCTTCTTGTGCCAATTGTTATTCAAAATATGGAAAATGAAATAGAAGCTTGTGATGGCAGTGACCTCGTTATGTAATTGGTGGAATTCTTTAGTCATCCACAAATGATTTTCAATACTGAACACCTAAAGATCTATATTTTTTATCTACAGTTTATGGAGCTCTTTAAAATTTATCAAATCAGAAATTAAATTCCAACATATTGCTTCAAAAAGCACATACTTTTCACGTTATGCTCTGAAATTGCACGTGAACTCAAGTAAACATGTGACATCACGTGAAAAAATGAGTGGTAAATAAAACCATGTGGAAAAATAATAAGTGACAAGAAGTGAATCATGTGTAAAAGAATCACATGTGAATCGAAATGAATCATGCGTAAGAAAAAAACACCTGAAAATAAATGAATCGTTTAAAAGAATCAAATGTGAATCGAAATGAATCATGTGTAAGAAAAAACACCTGAAAATAAATGAATCGTGTAAAAGAATCAAATGTGAATCGAAATGAATCATGTGTAAGAAAAAACACCTGAAAATAAAAGAATCGTGTAAAAGAATCAAATGTGAATCGAAATGAATCATGTGTAAGAAAAAACACCTGAAAATAAATGAATCGTGTAAAAGAATCAAATGTGAATCGAAATGAATCATGTGAAAACAAATCACATGTAAAAACAAAAAATCAATCATGTGTAAAAGAATCACTTGTGAAAATAAATAAGTCACATCTAAGAAAAATCACATCTGAAAATAAATGAATCGTGAAAAAGAATCACTCGTGAAAATAAATGGATCATATGAAAAAGAATCATAATTAAGAAATAAGTGGATCATGTGTAAAATGATCACGTGAAAATTAATTAACTGTGTGGAAGAAAGATGTTGCATTGAAGATTGCTATGCTACTGATAAATTAAAATAATAGGAAACAGTACACAGTTAGCATGTGTGCATTGTAGGAAACAGTTAGCAGTTGCACAGTTAGCATGTGTGCATTGTAGGAAACAGTTAGCAGTTGCACAGTTAGCATGTGTGCATTGTAGGAGACAGTTAGCAGTTGCACAGTTAGCATGTGTGCATTGTAGGAAACATGCATGTATTTATGAGCATTAATTCTAACTATATGTCCATTATTCTGTTAGTATTGTTGCTTGCAGATGGCATGTAAAATTCTCTGTATAGCACTGAGGACCAGGCCAGGATTTAGAAAGGTTTGACCAAACCCTGCTTCTGGAAAGCTGCCATGCTGCAGAGTTCAGTCTCCTGAATATAAAACACATCTGATCCATGTGATATTCTATCCCCATACCAATCCCCACAGATGTCTGATATCTCCTGGTGTAACACACTTGACTCTTCGCTAAATCTCATTGTGCTTATACAACGATAATAAAAGCATTTGTCATCACCTTCACGATCTAATCCAGGTGTGTTACGGAGGTTTCATATTCGAAAACTCTTTCATTAATTGGACAGAAAGACAGTGAAGAGAAAAGGTTATTGAGTGTGCATGCAAGAAACGATTATATACAACCCCTGGCAAAAATTATGGAATCGCCACACTTAGAGGATGTTCATCCAGCTTTTTTACTTTATAGCAAACAAACGAATCACACATATGACACAAAAAAGGTTTTGTTCAATAGCTTAACATTCTGGCTTTGTGAAACATACATCAAAAAAATTCACTGACATTTTTTTTTATTAATGGCATGTCATTTTCCAAATCAAGTAGAGGAAATAATTATGGAATCACTCAATGTTGAGGAAAATATTATGGAATCATCTTTTAATTTCCATTTCTAAAACAAATACCGGGACACGTTTAAACACACTAATTAGTCAGCAGTTAAAAGGGAGCGCTTACACGCCTTAACGAGCTGTTGGACTTGACTAATCGAAAGGAAACATGGCTCCAACGAGAGAGTTGTCAGTTGAATCATTGGAAAGGATTATAAAACTCCTTCAACATGGAATTTCAACACAGAGTGTGGCCAAAGAAGTTGGTTGCTCCCAGTCAGCTGTGTCTAAAATTTGGGGCAAATATAAACTTAATGGGAAGATTATAAAAAGAAAACATACAGGCAGACTAATGAAGACATCAAAGCATCAGGATAGAAAACTCAAAGCAATATGCCTTGAAAATAGAAAATGCACAACAAAACAAATGAAAAACCAATGGGCGGAAACAGGAGTCAATGTCTGCGACAGAACTGTAAGAAACCGGCTGAATGAAATGGGATGTACATATAGAAAAGCCAAACGAAAACCAGCACTAACACCTAAACAGAAGAAAACAAGGTTACAGTGGGCTAAGGAGAAGCAATCATGGAGTGTGGATGATTGGATGAAAGTGATATTCAGTGATGAATCACGAATCTGCATTGGCCTAGGAGGTGATGCTGGAACCTTTATCTGGTGCCGTTCTAACGAAACATATGAAGATGACTGCCTGAAGAAAACAATCAAATTTCCCAACTCCTTTATGATATGGGATTGCATGTCAGGTAAAGGACCAGGGGAGGTGGCAGTCATTACCTCAGCAGTCAATGCACAGGAGTACATTGAAATTCTGAACACTTTTCTCATTCCATCCATAGAAGATAGGTTTGGTGATGATGAAGTAATTTGTCAGGATGACAACGCATCGTGCCACAGAGCAAACAGTGGTAAAGCTTTTCTTCAGGAAAGGCATATCAACTCAATGACATGGCCAGCAAACAGTCCGGATCTCAATCCAATTGAAAATTTATGGTGGATGTTAAAAAAAACTGGTCCATAATAAGGCTCCATCCTGCAAAGCTGATCTGTCAACTGCTATTCGAGAAAG